CTAGTGATTGATTATCTAATAGCATAAACATTGACTGTGGACTTGTAATGGAACTTCCATCACAACTTCACATGGATGAATACGTAATTTATATGGTTCAATTAGTACTAAAGTTTGTCAATCTTTATGGAGGGATTCCTTTTTGTCGTAAAGTATGAGAACATGATTTTTTTTTCAATTTCATGATAAAATTGTGTGCTACAGTTGTTGTGGAAGGCATTCTGTCCTGAATGACATGTAAGAGTCTCTTGTACTTTATAAATGGAGTGTTCACCTTGTACAGATCATTGGAAATCCTGGCACTTATTTGTCTCACAATGGTAGAGCCATGCTTGTCCATAAATACAATCCCATTTTATTAACTCTTAATAAATTGAATTATATATGTAATTTGTATTTGACAGTGTCTTTGCATATCCATTTTCAATATGTGATCCAAGGTATTCTATTTTTTCCGTGTTAAAAGAAATTCATAAAGAAAAAGCAGATAAAACAGTATAAGACAACTGAAAGAATGTGTGTAGTTGAATAAATTGGTCATTTCCCCCATCATTTGAACCATTAAATGATTCTTCCATTTATACATTTCTAATATCCACAGTATATGCTTCTTCTTACTAGTTTATATTGTTCTCATTCATCTCTGCTAAGTCACGCATGAAAACGGTTTTTCACTCTTGTCCAACATAATTGCCGCTTGTTGTTCTTGATTTTTGTTGCAGCTAAGGGTTGAGGAATCATGGCTATCTTTTGATGAAGACGCTTTGGTTGTGCATAACAAGGTAAAGTGTTGTAATACATAGACATTTGAGTCCTTTGTCATGGGCTCTATCCTAATGCAGATCATTTTCATGAAAACTGGCCCTTTTCAGGTCCGTGCATTTGCAGGCTGGCCAGGAACTCGGACCAAAGTCCAAATTGTTCATGATAATGAACCGCCTCAAATTCTAGAGCTGAAGATTATTACCACTAAAGTTTACAATAACCAATTCCAGGGTGGTGGAAACGTCACATTTGAAGGAGGTGTCTTGATATTTCCATGTGCTCATGGATCTGCATTGGAGGTGCGCTTTCCAAGATACAATGTGCACAACACACACTAATGGAGCAGATATTGCACAAAATTGTGAAAATACATATCACAGAGTAACATCTTGAAATATGATTTGGCAAAATGAGTTTATTGCATAAAGAGAAAAGATACAAAAATGATAATTGAGTTTTATGATACATGGTAAACACTCCTAATTCTAAACCAATTTTTTTTTTGGTATTGTTCACTTTAATTCTAAACTAATTTTAAAAAATGAGAATATTTTTTTGGGAAAAGTTTATGTAGAGCCGAGGCTATAAACAATAAAAAATTTCACTAAAAGAGGTTGTTTTGATGCCCAAATATCTTCAAATTGATCATCTCGACATCAAGATGCATGGACATCAGAAAAAAATGGATTTCAAGTTTTGGAAATAGCGTATTTTGTAATGCATTTTTGGACTGTCCATTTTCAAGTTTTTGAAGTTTTCATAGATCTCTCAATTTACATTATTTTTGAAGTTTTAAACTTTATAAATAAAGATGAAAATATATTTTAAGGCTATCAAAAGGATTTTTAATATTGAAACCACATTTCTCGATGCTAATTGAAGGTAGGCTCTAATTTGATTGTTTAGAGCCTAGGCTCTATACAAACCGCATCCTATTTTTTTTAGTTTCTTAAATATTGGTTTGATCTTTTCTATAGATTGAAGTACTGATGGTCCTGATGTTATTGACTTCTAAATTGAAGATGAAACTATAGGGAGCTTTATGAGTTTGAATTCTTAGTTTGTTAAAACAAATCGAGAAATGAAACTATTCAGACGAGTTACTACCCTAGTAACAACCCTTCTGCTAAACAAACATTCATGTTACAGTTAAAAGGTGGATATCAATGTTGATATTTATGATAAGAGAGAAATATGAGTTCCAGAGAATTTTAGTTCAGGAAGAGAATCCAAGGCCAGAAAGATGCACCTTATCAAATCCTTAGTACATGTGTGTTTTCAAATTCTAATTTCTTCTGAAAGTGAATGGATAGAGGAAATAATGCAAATGAGCTATTTAATTACATATTAGAAATGTAATTATTAATTTGTGAAATCCAGTTACATGTAGTAAAATAAAAATAAAAATCACAAAGTTGTGCTCTATTTTGAAGTGCTCATAAAGTTATTTGACCGGTTATGCTTTATTATAGAGTACATTTATGGTGTAGCCAAGGTTACACCAGAAAGCCGTGTTGCCTGGTGAGGGACCCAAAAGAGCTAATAAATGCTTCCAAATCATACTCTACAAAATGTTTTATTTGGAGGTCTATAAAAGCTCCAATCAAAATTTCTTTTAGAGGGAGATTGATTATGGAGTTGGGAAGACTGGTTTGGAAACTTTTTCAGATGCCCTCATTCTATCAAAAAGTTGTGAAGGAGGTGAGCTCACACTAGTTCTGGTGTAGCCTATAGGCTGGACAAAAACATTTTCCTTGTGGAAAATATGGAATACTCGTTATGGGGTACACATGCTTGCTATCCACTGCTCTCACTGATCAAAGGACAGCAGCGATGATCTTCACTATCCATTAATAAGCAGTGACAGTGGATGTCCGGTCTGATTGCCCGTTATTACTCCGTGTGTGTGTGTGTGTGTGTGTGTCAGAGAGAGAGAGAGAGAGAGAGAGAGAGAGAGAGAGAGAGAGTAGTAGTGTAGTAGTTATAGTGGTAGGTGTAGGTAGTCGACGTACGTACCGGAAGGAAGGTCGGTGACGCGTCGTCGTGTCGTTAGTTTAGGTAAGTGGTACGGTAACGGGACGA